AGTACCAATCAGCTGAGCTGATCGTAGGACTTTTTGCTACTGGTTTTGGCTGAACCGGGCCGAATCGGTAGCATACCACCACCACTGGTTGTGTGCAGTAATAAATCAGCTTCAACAGTTTCGGTACATACCAGGCCTCAAGGCCTCACGTAGGCTGAAAGCGTGTACCAGGAACAAAGAACATCAATCAACAACACGTCACCATGGGCTACTAACTGGACTGCAAGCGCTGATTTGCTACTTTGTACCTTTCAAACTGACCATCTAAAACTGTAATTGGATGTTACTAGGTGTCCACTAATATTTCTACTCATGTAACATAATGATTGGATAGAGTTCACCGCTTATGACGTATCACTATGTGTTTTTAATAAAAGAGCTTCCCGAGCTCGTGATCGGGGCAGCTCACCCGAGTTAGAACCAGCCTGGTGTCCTTCTTGATGCATTCGACCACCCAGTGAGAAGCCTTCCTAATGCGGAGCAAAGCCGCAGTCGTGAAGAATCGGACATGACTTAGCGAGTGAACAATAGCCACGGAAGAGGGAAATGGGGGCTGCCATGTCAGAACCCCCAGATTGGTGGGGCACAGCTTTGTCTGGCCAGCTGAGGACTTCAGCCACCCGTGGCTTCCTACTCTCTTTGCAAATGGTGTGTGGCGCATCTGGGGGTCTTCAACACACACACGCACGCACGCACGCTGCAGTCATGCCGAAAACTCCAGTCACAGATGGTTAAGGAGAGCTTTGGCATCTCTCCAGCCAACCATCTAGATCTGCAGGTTTTCGAAAGCACCCCAGGGGGGGAAATTCTTCTCTGCCCTACTGGGCAGCTGAATGTAAATATTTTGAGATTGACAGGCCTCCCACATGGAACAGCAGCAGCCAGATTGTTCAGTCTTGAAGTTCTGTTCCATCACCTTCTTTTTAAATAGGAAAAAAAAAAAAAACACCAGCCATCTTAAAACAGGAATTTTCCATTCTGCTTATGGCCAAAGGCCCTGGAAACTTTTCATATGGAGAGCCAGTTTGGTCTCGTACAGAAGAAGAGAATAACAGAGTTGGAAAGGACCTTAGAGGCCTTCTAGTCCAGCCTCCTGCTCAATAGGAAACCCGATAGCATTTCAGACAAATGGCTTTTCTTAAAAAACATCCACCACTCGCAGCTTCTGAAGGCAAGTCTTCCACTGGTTGATTGTCCTCACTGCAAGGAAGTTTCTCCTTAGTTCTAGGTTGCTTGTCTCCCTGATTAGTTTCCATCCATGGTTTCTTGTTCTGCCTTCAGGGGCTTTGGAAAATGTATCGCCTCCCTCTTCATTGTGATAGCCCCTTCGATATTGAAAAAGTGCTATTACAGTGGTGGCTAACCTTTTTCGGCCAAAAATTGCGAGCGCGCCCACGCTTGCATGCCAGCACCCAGAATGCAATGTGCACCCCCTCCCCACGCCCCCTGTGCATGCGTACGCAGTCCCCCCACCCTCTTACCTGCACTGTGCCTCACAGCTGATTTTTTTGGCTGGTTTGAGGCTTTTTTCGGCCTCCCCGAGGCTTGGTCCAAGCCTCTGCAAGCCTTCTCAGGCTGAATCATAGGCCCGTTTCCTCACAGGAAGTGATGAAACGGGGCCTATAATTAGGCCTGAGAAGCCTTGCAGAGGCTTTTTCCAAGCTTCTGGGAGGCCGAAAAAAGCCTCAAACCAACTGGGGAAAAAAAATCAGTCATGAGGCGTGCGCATGCACAGTAAGGTAAATTTGCCTGCAACTCGCGTGCCAGCACAAATGGCTTTGCGTGCCACTTGTGGCACACATGCCATAGGTTCGCCATCACGATGCTATTATATGGATAACTATTGCCCCTTTGTGACCTATGGACTTCAACTCCCAGAATTCCCTAGTCAGCATGGCCCTGTCCTTAAGCGCATTTTGGAACCTAAAGTTTCAGGAAAATTTTGCGTGAAGGCTTATGCTAAGGATGAGATTGGTCCCATGTATAAAGTCGCTAGACATTTTGCCAACAATGCCCAGGTTCAACTTATGACCATAAGTTAAGCCCATAATTTCTGTCGCTGAGACATTTGTTAAGTGACTTAATGACCTTCCTTGTCACAGTTGTTAAGCAAATCATTGCAGATGTTAAGTTAGTAACATGGTCGTTAAGTGAATCTGGCATCCCCATTGACTTTGCATGTCAAAAGCTCACAAAAACTGATCACATGACCCCGAGACACTGCAACCGTCATAAATACGAGTCCGTTGCCAAGCATCTGAAATTGATCACATGACCATGGGATGCTACAGCTTTCATAAATGTAAAAAACGATCATAAGACACTTTTTCCAATGCCATTTTTAATTTTGAATGGTCACCAAACGAACCTGTTGTAAGTCAAGGCCTATCTGTAGCTGTTTGGATCCTAGTCAGAACGTGGCTTATTTTACTAGATTCACAGTCCTAATTATAAAGATGGCTACCGAGCCTTTCTCTGAGGAATTCAGAATATTTTTTTGTAAACTCTTAACAAAACTTTCCCCCCAAAATCACTTGTGTGGGCATCTGCAGATCTGCATGCTCCAGCAAGGGGGAATGAATGAATGAAAAGAGCTGGAAGGGACCTTAGAGGTCTTCTAGTCCAGCCCCCTGTCAAGCAGGAGAACTTACACCCATTTCGGATAGGTGACTGTTTCTAGACTCTTCTTAAAAAACTCCAGTGATGAAGCACCCACAACTTCTGAAGGCAAAGCTGTTCCTCACTGGTTAATGTTCCTCACTGTTAGGAAGTTTATTTCAGCTTGCTTCTCTTCTTGATTAATTTCCAACCACTGCTTCTTGTTCTCCCCTCAGGTGCTTTTGGAGAATAGTTTGAACCCCCTCTTCTTTGTGGCAGCCCCTCAAATACTGGAATACTGCTATCATGTCACCCCTAATTCTTCTTTTCTCTTAGACTACCCAGACCCAAATCTCGCAGCTGTTCCTATGTTTTAGTCTCCAGGCCTTTAATCATCTTAGTTGCTCTTCTCTGAACTTACCCAAAGTCTCCACATCTTTTTTGTAGTGCGGTGTGGATGGGGTTTGGGACCTCAGGCCACCATTTTGTCATCGTGTTTAATTTAGGGCTTTCTTTGCAGGATTTAAATCTTCTTCATGGTTTTTTTAGAAGCGCTGTTTCTATGCAATGTAATTTTGCACATTTGGACACGTTGCAAGGTCAGAGGCTGCAGGCAGAATCTGTGGAGTTTTCTGTGAGCAGCTGCACCAACCCACATCTGAAACGTCCTTCCATGGTTGTGCAGAGACTGACAGTTTCCACCCCCCGGGGTTCTCTGAGAAGCTTCACAGCTTTCTGAGGTGCAGCCTGACTGGCACGCCTCAAAAATGCCTGAAGTCATAACTTGAGTTGCTGGTGTTGTTGGACTGGCTTTGCAGTTGGCTAAAAAGTAGCTCGGTTGGAAGATCTGGACTTATTACCCTGCACCGTGTGTGCGCGTGCCATCCCTTAAGGCAAGTAAGACCACAAAATCCCTAAAGAATATCAGTGGTGACATGACAGCCATGTTCCAGTATTTAAGAGGCTGCCACGAAGAAGAAGGGGGTCAACCTATCCCCCAAAGCACACGAACAGAACAAGAAGCCATGGATGGAAACTAACCAAGGAGAGAAGCAACCTAGAACGAAGGAGACATTTCCTGACAGTGAGAACAATTCATCAGTGGAACAATTTGCCTCCAGAAATTGTAAATGCTCCAACTCTGCAGGTTTTTTTTTGTTTTTTTCAAAAGAAGAGATTGGACAACCATCTGTCTAAAATGGTATCGTGTTTCCTGCCTAAGCAGGGGGCTGGACTAGAAGACCTTCAAGTGCCTTCCAATTCTGTTATTCTGCTTCCCTGTAGCACCTGGTGTGCAAATCATGTCTGCTTAGTTACATCCAGATGTTGGCAGCCTAATTTATAGAACACTGCAATTGTGGAAATTTTGCTCCCAAGCTATCTCGGCGACACCTCTTTGAGACGGAATCATCCCATAATGATGATTTTCCAGCACACACAACTGCACACATATACACAT